AAAACCGAGGTCCCGTGTAAACATTGGAATGCACGTAAAAGATCCCCTGGCAGTTGGAATTCGATATAAGAGTAGGCGATAGTGCCGCTGCCCGGGGAAAATTTCCCTCATAGCACACTGTATGGCGTATGCCCGTCTTCATTAGCCCAGTATAGGAGCAGAATAGTAGGACGTTAAACCCCATTTCATTTCAATTTCCGTTTTCCTCCCACAGCTAAAGACGATCGAATAATTGAAATAAAATTAAACCATATGTTAGTCCCGAAATGACCTAGTTTGTGTCGAGTGGACGTTAAACACCATTCCCCCCCCTCTCTCTCTCTCTCTCTCTCTCTCTCTCTCCCATAAATATTTAAATTAAAGGGACAGTCACATTGACACAACTTATCAATTCTGCAGTGAGTAGTAAAAGGGCTATTCAGAACACTCGAACTGATACTAAACTAAATAGAAAGACATTCCACATCACTTTAATGAACAACATTTTGTATTTTGTTGGGAATGAATTATAGGATTTCCAATATCAAATGAAATGTGGTTCAACGTCCTTCTGTTGTGCTCCGACTGGACTAACGAAAAAGGGCATGTGGCATACAGTGTGCTATGAGAGAATGTGGGCTACGACCTACTCTTATATCGAATTCCAACTGTCAATGAATCGTTTACGTGCACGCCCATCTGTACACGTCCCACCCTAACGACTTGACAGCTGCCTTGCCAGATCCTACATCCTGCACCACTGACAAGAGGAAACTGCGCTGGAAAATTAAGTGTTTCTTTAAGATTGACTATTTCGTTAAATTATCTATTTCTTTAAATCAACTATTTCATTAACACCATGCAGCATTAATTCCACACTTAAAAGATCTATTTCATATTGTGAAATAGAATTTGTATTGCAGTGCAGGGGAGGTAACTCTTGTTATCATTCCTCAACTGCTTCATTTTGAACAAAGCACGAGGCAAGAATGCAGCAAAGAAAATGTTGTCAACACAAATAGTACAGGTTTTTTTTAAGATAAGAGTTGTCAACACTATTGTCTAATTGTCTCGGGGGCTATTTCGTTTGTTTTACAAGGGTTGTGACGCTACGTTATTGGTTAAAACCCTGTTGTAAAATATGAGGTTGCATGTTTACCAATGAGCTTTCGCGGGGCTTGGTCACGTGACACTAGCCCGCCATGTTTGTTTTCAAGTTGGCAATCCACTATTGAGCGATATGGCGTCTGTTTTAATTCTTGGCAGTTCACATGTCAACCATCTTCAGACATACGTCGAACATCAGGCTAGGCTTTTTAATTTGGGCTTAGGCCGAGAAACCACAGTTTTCTTCCAGGGAATTTCCGGGGGTCGTATAACAAGTGCATCATGTACCCGTTATTTACTGTCTGAGTCTTGGTAAATTTTAAACGGATTTCTTCGATTATGAACAAACTACTTAACTTTGGTTATTATAAACTTACCTGTGTGTTTGTAATGAACTCCCGTTCGATAAAATCCATTGCACAACTAATTATCACAACGATGAAAACAAGTTCTCTCTTGAAAAATTGAAATATCACAAACTTTTCCCAGAGAAAAATACCAATATGGAAGATGGTTACGTCACTCTGCGGAAGATATCATTTCGTATTAGGGGTGACAGCATAGGAAATTCAAGTACAATTACGACAAGAATCCATGACCACTCGGTTCAAGACCAGTCGGACCAACTGATAGACCACTCAGCCCAAACAAGTAGACTACTCGGACCATACAAAAAGACTATTCGGACCCAACAGAAAGACGACTCGGACCAATAATAAAGTGTTGTTTTAATAAATTGATAATTGCGTTTGTTTTAATATGATTACTCGAACCAATAATAAAGTGTTATTTTAAAAAATTGATAATTGTGTTTATTTTAATATGACTACTCGAACCAATAATAAAGTGTTATTTGAATAAATTGCTAATTGTGTGTGTTTTAATATGACTACTCGAACTAATAATAACGTGTTGTTTGAATAAATTGATAATTGTATTCCAAATCGCAAAATATCGAGAACCACACTTGTAGTCACGTTTAAAAAGGGGCATATAAACGTCCGGTCTTCGTATTATTATGTGCTGTTTATATTAACGCATCAAGGGCGGATAACTTGAAAACGTGTCTCCCCCCCCCCATATATAGTAACCCAGGGGTTAGTGGGGTAGAACGGAATGAAACCACTGGGGATACCGCAAATGTGGAAAAAGTAAAATTAGGCTATCAGACAAGAACAGAAAACCCGTATATGTAGAAACTGTCAAAAGTCTGGACATACCGAGTCTCATTGCAAGAGTAAAGAAAAATTAGATTGATATTTTTTTTTGGCACCATTATTAATTAATTTTAAAACTAATCGTTGATTTATTTTCCGTACACAAAATTGAACCAAACAACTCTAAATATAAGAATTCCGTATAAGAATTATTTGCTTCTTTGTATTGTGATTTAATAATAAATAAATAGCATATTGTCTAGCCTTATAATATAATTTAATTGGTCCGACTGGTCTTGTTTTGGTCCGACTGGTCTTGTTTTGGTCCGACTGGTCTTGTTTTGGTCCGACTGGTCTTGTTTTGGTCCGACTGGTCTTAGTCCGAGTAGTCTTTGGTCCGAGTGGTCTGGATACCTACGACAATTGGCATTGAGTTTGAGCGTTCGCACACATAACTACCCGCATTCCTGTATTTAGGTACCGTCTTTTACATTCTAGTAAAATCTCTGCAAATTTTATAGCTTTACTTTTTGAAATATTTTGTTCTAATTATTTGATTAGCGACTCGGATTGGATTATTTACTTTTGAACACGCATGCCACACAAACACAACTATACATTCGTTTTACGGGCTTTATCACACTTCGGTCAAAACTGTCGAATCGAGAATTAATGTTCCGCTTCTTACGGGGTCATACGGGCTTAGTAGCATTATATACCCACCCGTGCACCCAATAGACACGCTGAGGGCTGCCGCAACACGCTTAAAGATGTTACTGAATTATTATTCGATCGAAAGAATGCGTATAAAATTAAAAATACACTCAGAGAATTCGGAGGTAAACTTCATGATCCTTGTTAAATTATTTATAACATAAAGATGATAGGATATTTATAGTTTATACATGACTTTATTTTTACGAGTATCCGTGCAATCAGTGATATTTTAATTGTGAAGAAAATTTGATAGACTGGCGATCAATGGTTTCCATATAAATCTCCTATGTCATTGCCTTCAATTGATATTTTTCGTCGCCCAAACCCATATACGATCAAAATGATCGCGCTGTCAAACTATCTTTCAATATTAACCAACCCCCGCAACAGGTACATTGGATTCGACCAATACGTCACGAAGACATTGTTGACATCGACTCTGTCGAAATTACAAGTAAATTTTCAAATTTTTCAAGAGAGAACTTGTTCTCATCGTTGTGATAATTAGTTGTGCAATGGATTTTATCGAACGGGAGTTCATTACAAACACACAGGTAAGTTTATAATAACCAAAGTTAAGTAGTTTGTTCATAATCGAAGAAATCCGTTTAAAATTTACGATGGTTCACACAGTAGAACGATGCATTCGGAGAATTCAGCCCCGTTTCGTTTTCCTGCATATTGGTGGGAATGATCTCGATGCTTTGAATGCCGATGTCGATGAAATTGGCCACAGAATCGTTTCACTAGCTAATTTGTGGTTAAGGAAGTTCCACATATCGGCTATATTTATAGGTCAGATTTTTAAGAGGCAGTCAACAAGACATATTTCAGTACAAAACTTTAACGAAGACGTCCTTTCTCTGAACACCATGCTGGAAAGCAGTTTAAATGTCAATGGACAGGCAATTGGGTATTGGAAGATGCAGGGTTTAAATCACCCATCCCTCCCAATTTTCGCTAGTGACGGAGTACACTTGAACAAGTTACTATAGAAATGTCCGAGGTGCCATTCTTTTTATGTTACATACCGACTCCTTTTAAATGTAAGTTAAAGTTTTATTCAGTATGGTTTGAGGCCTTGGTCAGGGGATCCTGGAAAGACATTCAGTCTAGAGGAACTTGGAGTGCCTTGGCAGATTTATGTAGGTTTTTTTTAAATTTTAGTGACATTTATAATCCTGGATAGCTGGTATACCAGTCTAGAGGAGAGTCCTGTTTCAGAGGATCAGAATAAATTTATAATGTTCTCTGTTGTAAAATCTCGAAGTTGCTAGGGGGATCCTGGAAAGAGTGATTTCATTTTCATTCTAGAGGTTGTCCGGAAAGCACAGACACATTTATTAATACAATGTTACAGAAGTCCGTCCAATTGGTTAAACTGAGCTCTAACTCGGACATTTCTAATGGGTAACATTTATTTAAATGGTAGAAAAAGTTGAATCATGGCATAATGTGTCATTTTCAATACTATTTATGATTTTCTTTGCAGGTCTACTAAGGCAGTTTTCAAAATAATGAGCCACATCAGAAAATCACAGCGGATAGCTGCGGCTAGAGAACCTGTTGCCAGGAAAAGATTAAGCCCAGCAAATGTTGCACAGCCAGCTCAAAAACATTTGCGTCGCTCGCAGATTCCGGTACTGGTTACGCAGGGTTGTTCAGGCACCACAGAGTCAGGAGTCTGGAAGGGCTAGTTTAACCTCTGTGGTGACCAAGTGTGTGTCATCCATGCTACCATCTATTGTCGAACAAGTTGTGGCTAAGCTGAATATACCTCCAGCTAATGCAGATAATGCAGATGAAATTATTACAGATATGAATAACCAGGGAAATTCGTCCACCAACAACATATTAAACCATGGAGATTCGTCCACCAACAACATTTTAAACCATGGAGATCCGTCCACAAGCACTTCTATGGACCAGGTCGCAGACAGAAATGTGTCCGCAGTCTTAATCAACAAATTATTAGAAGCACCAGGTAGGGACGAAAGCTTTCACGAGTCAGACTTAGCATTAGTTAAGCCTCTAGATTTGGGTATCGACCCCAAGGTAAAAGCCCAAATTTGGGCGGATGAATTTGTGGAGTTAGGTACACTAATTGGGACGATAGGAGCCACTAACAGATATTCCATGATTGAACAAGATGGGATAATTGCCCTTACAAAAATGCAACAATCGCCAGAATTTTCCTCTTTCTCCGATTGGCACACCGCTTTTATCACGTTTGTAGGTATCTATGTGCAGAAGCACCCAAATCAGAGTTCAGCACTGATGAAATACATGCTGGCTATCCAGAATTTAGCAACATCTGCTGGTGACGCACACGCTTTGAATTACGATCGAGCATTTAGGCAATTAAGAGCCCGTCACCCTGCAAGAGTTCCTTGGGACCGTCTTCATCCGGAATTGTATAGCGATGCTGTTACACGGGGTGTGCTTTCTAAACAGCAGCAGGGGTCCGGCGCCAACAATTCTTTTCGTGCCCAAAGCAACTCTCAAGTATTCAGATTATGTTATGCATACAACAGCAAGCTGGATTGCAACAAGGGTTCGACCTGTTTGTACGCTCATAAATGTCAAAGATGCCGGGGAGCACATGCCCGGATATCGTGTTCCAACCTGCCCAAAACCTTTAGGCACGAAGACAGGATGTCTGACAATAGATATAAAACTCAAGGAGGACAAAAACCTCAGAAAAGTGGTCCTTCATCCAGTAAATAAGACCCTCAACGAATTATCTTGAGACCAAATTCTAGCCAAGTATAGTTTAACGAACACAATAGATAAATTGCCTACTCCTATTAACCCAATGCGTTTGGCTTTTTGGCTTCAAGGTTTCGATCTAGATATTACAAAATTTTTGTTAGCCGGTTTTACTTTTGGTTTCTGCATACCTTTCGAAGGTACTCAACAATTTCGTAGTTGTAACAATTTGATCTCTGCACAGCAACATCCCACAATCTTGCGAGAAAAAATTGACAAAGAACTTCAGGCAGGCAGGGTGGCTGGTCCTTTTGACGTCCCACCTTTTGAGAACTTTCAGGTGTCCCCTTTAGGAGTAGTGCCAAAAAAGGCTCCGGGCGAGTTTCGGTTAATCCAACATTTGAGTTTTCCCGATGGGTCAGCTATAAACGATGGTATCCCCGAAGAACTGTCTACTGTCCAATATCAAACAGTTGCGGAGGCAGTCCACATGGTTCAGACAATCAACAATTTTTGTGGCCGTAGTAGATACCCCATCTTTTGCACAAGGGGACACTTAATGCATGTTTAAATTGTATTTGTGCTATATTGAACCATTTTGATATTAATATATTTTATGTTTTAGTATGTTTCATTTCCATGTTGAAAAAATTGTGTTATTTATTTTGCCCAGTATTTGTTATTAGTCAATGATGACCATTTCAATTCAAACAAATGTACAAAACATAGCCATTCCAGGGCACGGGGGATACAAAGTATATTACACGCGTTTAGTATCGGCCCTACTCAGTTTTAAATTAAATATGACTTTTAAATTTCAGGTATTTGATGAATGTGTTTGTTGCAATTGGATTGAACAAGAAAATACTTACGCCAAATATTCTCATTTTCCACCTTGATCACGTGGGTGTAATCTGCTGAAATTCTCATAACTTTAAATCATCAGTTTTTAGTGTGGATCAAGTCATGATAATTTACATAGTGTATTTAAAATGCATATGTAGATGCCTATCAGCAACTTTTGTAACTTATTAAACGTACCTAATGGCTTTTGGGTTGTTTTTTTTTTATTTTACTTTTGTTTTCTCTCTGAGAACGCAACAATCGGTGTCGGATTCATCTACTTGGAGCACCTTTGATTTTGCCTATGCAGGGTCGCCACGACCACTCGTTTTCCAATTTCAATCTGTCCGGGGATCTTTAACGTAATTGGATTTTTGTCCCATTCGAACGACTGGGCTTGTTTCCTTTTCAGACCCTCTACGCGAAGACTTGCATGATCTTGCGTCTTGCACCACTGAGAACGGGAAACCAGACTGGACAATCGCGAGTATCTCTCTTGGCCAACATCTGGCCCCGAGTTCACAAAGCATTCTCAGACTTAAGTTAAGGATTTACTCAACTTTCAATCACTGTTTATGAGAAATATCTTTGATCCACAAACACAAAACTTTGAACATAGTTTTTATTAATGTATTTGATATATCAAAACAACTAACTTTTATATAGGGCTATATTTTAGTTAAAATAATGCGAACAATTTTGAGTAAATTCATAAGTCTGAGAATGCTTTGTGAACTCGGCGCCAAGATTGAACCCGTGATCTTCTGGCTACTGCAACAGCCATACTCACTGAGCCACCACGTGACCCAGCAACAAAATCATAAACTGGACAAATTAACACATTGCGTGGTCTTTATTATGACATTTAAAACATTTTCATTTTAAACATTTTCATTTCATTTTAAACATTTTCATTTTAAACATCTTCATTTTAAACATTTTCATTTTAAACATTTTCATTTTAAACATTTTCATTTCACTTTAAACATTTTCATTTCACTCTAAACATTTCATTTCCCTTTAAACAATTTCATTTTATACATTTTCATTTCTTTTTTAAACATCTTCATTTCCTTTTAAACATTTTGATTTTAAACATTTTCAATTAAACATTTTCGTTTACCTTTAAACATTTTCGTTTTAAACATTTTCATTTCCCTTTAAACATTTTCATTTTAAACATTTTCATTTTAAACATTTTCATTTCCCTTTAAACATTTTCATTTCCCTTAAACATTTTCATTTCATTCGAAACAATCTATATTCCACATTTCCTGTAATGATTAGTTATCAATGTGCGTATGCAAATTGTTATTTTCGTGCTCAAGATATTTGTGCAAAAAATAAGCTTTATTGTCTTCAAGATAATTCTGGCGCCGTCTAATCTCTCATGCTGAATAAAATAAACATGTTTTAATGATTTTATTCAGCGCTTTAAACCTTTTCTTTATAATGCCAGCAACCTTTATCCACATTAATTTCCGGTGTGCCCTCGTCTAAATCCGTATACAATAAATAAGAGTAAACGAAATGGGGTTTAAAGTCCTACTGTTCTGCTCCGACCGGGATAATGAAGACTGGCATACGCCATACAGTGTGCCAATAAGGTGAATTTTTCCTGGACAGCGGCACTACGGCCTACTCTTATGTCCAATTGGGTAAGTCGCTGGCCTGGAGGTCGGGTGTTCGATCCCTGCATTGGCCGAGAAAGTTCATCGGGATTTTCCGACGTGGTTTGCCCCTTGTCAGTCTAGTCGTTAGGGTGAGACAAAAAACCGAGGTCCCGTCTACACATTGGTGTGCACGTAAAGGATCCCTTGGCAGTTGGAATACGATATAAGAGTATATAGTACAGTGTGACGTATATAGGCCCGTCTTCATTAGTCCATTCGCACCAGGTTACTAGGACGTTAAACCCCATTTCATTTATACACTAAAGTTAAACCTCAAACACCCCCGTCGATTAATCATCTAACCAGTACAATATCATTCTACACTTTATTGTATACTTCAACCCATTTGGTTTATGTAATGCACCTACTTGTTGAATCGATATTCTTATAAGTGCAACTAACATGTTATTTTTGATATTTCTAACGAGTTGGAATTCTTTATAAACACAATTTCTACCGGACCGATATTCCTTATGATCGATATTTGAAAGTCAACCCAGATTTAAAGTCAGCACTGTGTACTTTTGAAGGATAAGCTGGTTACGAATCCCCTCGAGATGGAATCTTCGTGCTAGGAGTTCCGTACTTCAGATGTGTTGACTCGTGTTCTAATGACGAGTTGCCTAGAAAACCAGATCATAGCTGGGTCACATTAGCTTACAATAAATCATTGTCATTGATTCAAAGGGACTGTGCCCAGTGGCGCAGCTAGAGTTTTTGGTTGTGCGCCCTCCCCCACCCCCACCCAACTAGCAGCACCCTCACTGAAAAAAATGAAATGGTGTTTAACGTTAACTGGACCCGACTGGGCTAATGGAGACGGGCTTACGCCATACCGTGTGCTGTGATGGAAAGTTTTCCTTGATAGCTGCGCTCCGGCTTACTCTTATATCGAATTCCAAATGCCAAGGGATCGTTTACGTCCCATCCGAATGACTACGTTCTTCATCCTTTGTCACAGCACAATACACATGAACATATTAAAACACTTAAACAAAAGGCGTTGTTTTTCGTTGAGAAATATACTTGTTTCAGGCGTTTTGAAGGCTTTATACTGCCGACATAAAATATGGGGGCGGGGACTGGATGGACGAATGGTTAGCGTGTGCGCGCTGTATCATAAGGTCTGTCATTGGGTCAACTGGCGTGCTTTCGATTCCCCGGTTTTACGTGACAAAGAGTAGGGTCGTATGTCCAACCACACGGGTTTTAAGCGGGTCCTCCGGTTTCCTCCGACTGCGAATTATTGAAATAAAATTAAACCATATGTTAGTCCTGAAATGACCTGGTTGTGTCGAGTGGACGTTAAAACCACTCTCATACAAATTCGTACCGGAGCAGTTTGTTGTACTATACGACCTATGTAAACAATTCACGTGTTATCGGTGTCTTCGTTTTGACGTCAAACGTAGACCTACGTGAACTAAAAGGTCAGGTATCTTGCACAGAATTAACAGAAGGGTTTCGCATTAGCTCTGTGAAACAGATTGCTCCATAACAATTATTACTTAGTTGTCAATGACTACCATAAACATGTCGGAATCGTGATTTTGAGATTAGTATCAAGTTTAAAAAATCAATCGACTTTTGGAATGTAAATTAATTATCCGAATAATAATTTGGCGAACCGACGAATCTGATATATTTAATTAAGTATGGAGAATTATGCGTTTGAAATTTGCGGTCTGTTGTTATCTCTATATCAGTCAAATAATAATATTTATGTAAATGACGTTCCGTGTCCTGATGTATATGTATGAAATATTAAATCATAAATAAATGTTAATATCTGATGGTCACAGAGTTAACAACAGAAAGCAAATTTCAAACACATAATTCTCAATACTTAATCGAAACCACGCCAGTTGAGCATATTGCATGTCAGACTAAATTATCCCGGTTGGCGCAGAAAAGTAGAACACTAACAAGGCAACTGGGCCCTGCTTTTAGAGATCTTAACTAAAGACAAAATCCAAATTTTGATTGGCTAAGCACTAAAATAAATCTAATATAATCCAATCAAATTACTAAAATTTGGATTTTATCTTAGTTAAAATTTCGTGAAACAGTCACCAGATCGGTCGAATTGAACATTTCATTTTGACCTAATTAAAATTGCCTCTGTTCCTTTAATACTATGTAATTTAAAGGGACATGTCTTTCTCCTGGTATCCCAAAACATCAAAACATATAATAATGAGTCCCCGGAGTCAAGCGTATATTATTAAAACCCGTCTAAACCGAACACAGTTCATTATATAGAACATCACGACAACAACACAAACAATTGAATGTAAATCAGTTTATATACATTCATAATACATTATTATACGTTACGACCCCTTTGTGTCCATTAGCAAAATAAATAGATACATATTACAATACATATAGAACAAAAACAAGAACGTTTTTAAATGTTTTATAATCAATTATTTTAAGTTTTCAAAGGCAACATGAGTCTGTTTGGGGCATAAACCTCATGGACCTCAGATGGATATGATTATGGACAAACCAGCTTGTAGAAGATCCGTGTAAACCAATATTTACAGAATGGAATGCAGATGGATGCTGCATGTACCTGGCCCAGTCGTGGCTATGGTCAGCATGGCTACCTGGCACAGACGTAGAAATGGTCAGCATGCATGATAGAGGAGTATAGAAAGTGTTTTCGCAGTGCCGGCATTTTGTTTGGTTAATTCTCAACAAATAAACCCGATCTAGTCCTACTAATGACAGACAAGAGCAGGCCCTACTAATGACCGACAAGAGCGCGTCATATGCGCCCGAACTATCGTAAAAGTAACAGACAAGAGTGAATCCTTCTAATGACCGACAAGAGCGGGTTATATGCGCCCGAACTATCGTAAAAGTGACCGACAAGAGCGGATCCTACTAATGACCGACAAGAGGGCGTCAAATGCGCCCGTACTATCATAAAAGTGATATGTATGTATTTTCTACACATCCATATCCAACATTTAAATGATTTCATTAAAAAAAAAATGATAAAATGAAGGATAACTGCAGTATTGACAAAACGGCTTTATACCGACACGGGAGAACTATACTTATAGATATAAGATATGTCATGCAACTCTTATAAATTGTTTAGTTGAATTGGTCTGATAGACCAAGACCAGCCTAGAGAATTTCAACAATATTATACTGAATTATATCCCACGATAATGTAAAGTCTTACCCCCCCCCCCAGCGCTCGATATATTATGACGTATATTCGTTGTATTAAAAATTTTGTTCGTTTTCTATCAAACAGAAGGTATAAAGGCCACTTAATGGACATATGTTAAAACAT